ATCGGTACGAATTCTGATGCACGTAAATTTTAGAATTGTACCTTATGCTCTACTAGGTTCGAGGTGTGAGTTTTCGATACACGTAAATTTCGGTCCTCACCCCAACCTCTCGACAGTCTGAGGTAGACTACGGGCTATGAGTTTCGATGCACATAAATATTTGTTCTTACCCGAAGCTATCACTTATAAATAGGCTAGTGTGTTGTCCGAGATGCACGTAAATTCCTCCGACCTCACCGCTCGACCTATCTCATGTTTGTTATGTACTTTTGCATGTTTATGACTCTACATGCCAGCATGTTCATGTAATGAATGTATGTAGTATTGCATAGTTATTCTCGTGGCACTGAGCTTGTGAGCTCAGCGTATGGAATGTATTTTCGTGCGCAGATTAGAAGGGGATCGTTGAGGGGCCTATCACATCCGTACATTTCAGACCAAAAGATTTGCAGAGTATGTCTTGAGTATTTGTAGAGGTATGGTTGTGATGTACGTATTTTTATGTCTTGAGTATTTGTAGAGGTATGGTTGTGATGTACGTATTTTGGAGGACTCCTATATTTTGTAAACGTTGAATTGATTTCCACTGCAATTTATGATGAATTATTTTGATGCTTACAAATGTTTTAAAAAGAAATTTTCGAGTTGACCATTTCGGTGGTTCTGTGGCATCGTAATTCATGGATCTTCAAGTCAGACTGGATTAGGGCGTGACACATAACATAAGTCAGGAGAGCTTGTGCTACGATTTAAGAAATACCTCACGACCACCAAAGGAGAAAAGGTTTTTCGTCCATCCATTGATTCTCTTCACTACTTTGTCTCGAATAAAACCAAAAACATTAGCTTTATTCTTCCCTACAATAAGTGGGAGGCCAAGATAATGGTCGGGGTTGTCTTCTTCCTGAACACCAAGTATCGTAGTCAAAGCTCGACAATCTCCAGGTCTTCTGTTGGTGCTAAAATAGATCATCGATTTGTGGTGGTTAATTTTTTGCCAAGACGATTCTTCGAAAATATCAAGAGCCCTTTTTAGTTTGCATGTTTCTTGTGGGGAATTTTTGATGAAAATGAGGCTATCTTCGGTGTAAAACAAGTGGTTGATTTGAGACCCCCTAAGACTTGCACGAACTCCTTCAATTAATCCTTGTCTTTGTTCAGCCAGGAGCGGCGTCGAGAATCCCTGAGAGAAAAATAATAAAAGGGTATGGGGACAAAGGGTCCCCTTACCGCAACCACCTTTCGGGTTTGAAAATTCCTAAAAGTTTTCCGTTAATTCTTAGGCAGTAATAAACCGAAGGAATGCAAGACATGGTAAGGCAAACAAAATCGCATCACATATTCAATGAAATTCCATTCAACTTTATCGTACGCTTTTTTCTTGTCGAGTTTTAAGGCAACCCCTTTGTTAGGGCCAATTTTAGCTCTTTTAAGGTAAAATTTCGTGGGCACCAAGGAAATTATCCGAGATGTGTCTACTCAGAACAAATGCACATTGATTTTCTTATATGCACAGAGACATAATAATTTTAAGACGGTTAACGATGGTTTTCGACACAATCTTGTAGATGACAGAGCAAAGGCTAATCAATCTAAAGTTTTTCATTAACGGTGGGTATTCAACTTTAGGAATCAGTACAACGATAGTTTGATTAACAGACTCAAAAGACAACTAACCCCTAAGAAGACTAAGACAAAGGGGTATAACATCATCACCAATAACATTCCAAAATTTGCGATAAAACAACCAGGCATACCGTCAATACCGAGGGCTTTGTTCAGGTTGATTTGGGAGAAAGTGACTCGAACTTCCTCAGTTGTGTACTCTTTGCAAAGTTCTGCATTAATCTATGGGGAAATGCACACATCAATGGCATCAAGGATAGCATGATATGGTTCACAGCAGGAAGAATGGAAAAGAGATTTGAAGAAGTCCGTAGCAACGTTGATAATATCTTCGAGTTTATCCACCTAGTCTCCATTGTAGTTTTCGATCCCGTTCACCCAATTGTTTTTCTTTCTTCCGCTAGCTCTTGCATGAAAAAGTTTGGTATTTCTATCTCCACTTTTGAGCCTGGAAACCCGTGATCTTTGACACCAGTATGCTTCTTCTTTATACACGATGTTTTTAAGCTCGATTTATGCCGTAACAAGCTGTTGCACAGTATCAGGTGTGATGGGCGCCGATGTGAGAATGCCTATGTTGTGTCGCAGCTCCTCTCTTTTTTTTGCTTTCGATCTTTTGTCGTGCTGCCAAGACTTCAACCTAGAGCTTACTGCCAGTAGCTTTTCCCATGTCGTCCCATGCGTGTGAATCCAGCGTTCATTAACCAATCTTCCACAATCCGAGTCCTCTTCCCAACATACGTTAAATTTGAAATAATCATCTCTTGCCCGTCTTTGCGCGTTCGTTGTCTGGTTTGTCGTCTCCAAGAGGATAATCGCGTGTCTCCAAGAGGATAATCGCGTGGTCAGATGAGTTTGCATGTTCAGAGGTAACTTTGAATCTTGGAAAACGCGCACGCCTTTGAGGGGAAGCTACATAACGGTCGATCCTTTCTCTGATGTGATTATCAACCGTACGCCGGGTGGACCAGGTGAACCAGCCGCTACTTGGTTTCAAGTCCCAAAGATCACATTTCCTTAGGGCTCTGAATTCTTCCATATCCCGGCGTTCCTTCCCATCTTCTCGTTGTTGAAGAAGATTTCATTAAAATCTCTCAGACGAGCCAAAACAGGTTAGAGGCCAACTTTAGGCATTCCAACATAAGCCAATTTTCTTTCTTCCTTGCACGATCACACAACCCATAAAAAAACCAGTACAACGAAACTGCTCCTGCTTCCAAGTGATTTCAGCATCTATATGAGAGTGAGTAAACCGATGAGATTAACTTGGAGGTTTTCTTTCCACAACATTAACAGCCCGATACATATCTTGTTTTTCCGCAGCAAAAACATCCTCATGCCCAAGCTAATCTTAAGCTTTTCTGCTTTATTCTTCCGAAGTCGAGATTCACAAACAAAACCAGTTGGGGGCACTTAGAGGAGACAAGTCTCCAAAGTTCTCTGATTGTCGTCGGGTTCCCAAGCCATGACAATTCCAGCTGGGATTATCAAGGCTCTCGGTGGGGCTGCTCTGCAGCCTCCACCGTTTGGATGGGCAAGACAGGAGGGCCACTCGCCTCAATGGCCAGATCAGCTTCTTCCGAGGTCCCTGTGCGGGACTTTTTGGAGTCAGGGTGGGTGCTATTCATGCCTGCAGGTCTCTTGAAGCGCTGTGCTTATATCGGACGTATCATTTGACTTTTTTGCTGTTACCATTGCTCCCGTTACAGATAGCACTCGCTTCTTCAGCTTTGTCTTCTCTGTCAACTTGTTGTTTGATGGGTTGTAGGGTTTGGATATCCTCGCAGATACCGAAGTAGCTGGAGTTTGATGCTATATCTTTAGCACAACCACTTCGATAGGATTATTGAATCAGTTGTCATCAATCAGGTTGGTAATGTTGCTTGGGAAACAATCAATTTCACTAAATGATCTTTTCTCTAGATGCTTTCAATCGAAATGATGTTTCTCTTTTCATACGATGGGAGTTCAAATACATGTACATAAACATCAAAGTCGGTTATAGCCACTGAAACTTTCTATTATTCTTTCAAAGGAATACTTCTAAATAAAGCTTAGTCATTCTGTTCCCTACACAAAATACATTTGCATGATCAAAAATACATTTGCATGATCAAAACTGCACACCAGTCTTCTCAAGCACGCAGCACATCAGTACACATTTTGTGCAAAAGAATTGTTACAAATAAAATAATATGTCACAGTACTACTTGCACGCAACATTTTAATGTGAAACCAGTCACCAGATGAAGAAAAGTATACACAACCTTATCTTTTTCTCAATTGTGTTCTGTTCTCTTATGATTTACATCCCAGTTGAGGATGTACGATTATGTCGGCCAATCTGGAAGCAGCTGCTTTAGCTCCTCTGCCTCTTCTGCTGATAAAGGCTTGCCTTGGTTGTTGGAGGGGGAGCTGCAATAGCTGCCCAGGGATCATCATCGTCAACTGCCCCGGCTGTTTTTACATTCAATGGTTTAGAAGCAGATTTTGGAGGAGGAGCTGCTATTGAACCCCATAAGTCATCATCTTCATCTTTATTCACCTTCACTGTACTTTTTGGTCTCAAACTCGTAGAAGCTAAAAAAAAAAAACAGACGCCGAAAATTAAATCTTCAAATTTTCGTAAATATCTGCTTTAAAAGTATTTCCCATCTAGGACCATAAACGTTAAGACTAAAAAAAACTCATTCCTACATTACACAATTGAATGGAGAATACTACCTTGTGGTTTAGGCTGAGAAACTGCTTGTAAAACGGGACGCTTCTGAGCTGCCTGAATATTTGCCAAAACTGGAGATGGCTTGGCTCATCAAGGGGTTCAATATCATCCCATCCATCTTGTCACTGTCATGTTCTTCATGAATGCCGTTTTCAATTTCGCCCCAGCCGTCGGTTGAAGTAGGAGATGGAGGCATGGGTGATCTGCAAAATCTGTACTAGAAACTTACACGGTGGACTGGCACTGTACTTGGAGTTCTATTAGTCCTAAAATGTCATAGAAAAGCAACATTAGAGATGGAATTATTTTTTTTATAGGAATAATAGGCCTCATTAAAAACCTTCCTCTTAGTTAACTCTAGGAAAGAGTAACTAGCGGAAGGAGGAAAAGAGTGCCTTAGTTTATTGAATAGAGAAACTATTACAATAAAGTACACCAATACATTAGAGATGGAATTATTAAATGAAAAAACACATAATCAGGCAAAAGTAAAGACCAAAAGTGCAGAGCATTGTATTAATAATTTCCAATATAATAGGCTCCAAATTTATAACTTGCATAATACAAGAAATACCTGGGCTGGATGTAGATGTTATAGTTGCAGCGTGACGGAATTGGCAGTAGCAACTGGAGCTTGATCAGAAGCTTTGCCTTAAGAGTCAAGGAACTCAAGGCCCATCTGCAAGGTCAGAATCTTAACGGTCAACAACCACAATACAGCCTTGTCAAAGAGTACATCATCCATCAAAGTGGCTATGAGTTTTCGGGACCTTCCTTTATAATTCATTTAACTAAGATAGCTGCTTAAAATTTAATGCACCGTACAAGCAAACAAATTGTAATATAAAAAAGGTCATTGATTCCATCTGAAGCATATTGTAGCATTATAACAAGCAATATTGCCAAATACAGCAAATATTTCAACTAACCCAGTAAACCAGCTTTCCTGGCATTGATGAAATCCCTAAACTTCCAGCATCAGCTGTATCTCCCGCATTACTCTGTGAAGAACAATAGATAAAAAGCATTAGTATAAGAAAATACCATACCAAAGATGATATTGAAGATTTCTTAGAACAGCTGTTAAAGATTAAAATATATAAAAAAAATTATGTTGTATAAAGATAATATGAGTTTGATACTGATAATGTATACAACAATGTTTGATATGCCTACAGTATTGACTAAACCAAAACATCCACACTAAAACCTAAGACATAGAACAACAAAGATGAGAGATAAACGCATAAAAGAAGAAAGACATATTTTGAATAAAAAGAAGAAATAATATTTATCCTGTTCAAACATAGCCATACACTGGTTAAAAGCAAATGAATGAAACCATATCAATCCTTGCAGAAACGAGAGATAAAATCGTTTTTGATAACTACAAAATGTTTTACTGCTTAGAATCTACAAACCAAGAGTTACAAAATGTTTCGTTAAGGATGGAAAATTTTATATTGAATGCATTAGAATGCTGATCAAGAGAAGAAGTAAATGTTATAGATAAATAAATGAAGTATTATTTTTTTCTGTGCTTGATAGCACTGAAATTACATTAAAGTTTGCATTTGCCTAAATTCAATGAAATGAGAGAGATGAAGGCATCTTAAAGCTGACCTTCTCGTTACACTGCTTCACTCTCTGTAAAAATTGATCAACTGCTTGAAATGCCTTTGACCTTACATCACTGTTAAAGAGTCGAGAGCACATTCTTCATGTACACTGATGGTGATAATAAAAAGTTGACAATAAACAAACCATTCAAGAATAACAATAACCTGTCAGGATCAATAATGAGTACAACAATATTCGGAAGAATCCGAGTAGCAATCTCAGTCATGTCATAATAAGAACTGGTGGCACATAAAGCCATAACTCCTGCCACAATATAATTACATGTTAGTTTGATGACACCAAAACCCCAAGAACACGTGCTTTGAAAATCAAAGAAAGCATTTTAAAAACCAAGAGTACCAGAAACTAGCCATAAACAAGTATACCTGCTCCTCGAGCAGGAGAGAAAGTATCACGCAATGCACGAACCGTAAATGCATTTATCAAAACTCTCTTCCGTGTCTACAATGTTAGGGGAAGAGATGACAATTTTTCAACAGGAGACAATTAATTGAACTTTAACAAGGAACATATAACTAGACACTAAAAGAAAGAGGATCACCACTAAACACTACTATCTCAGATGTCAATGTTAGGTAACTCAAAATCTAAACAAGGATTGGACTAGAATCAACTAACCCCTTCGTTTAGGTAGCTTGCAATGTTTCCCAGCAATATTGTGGTATTTGTCCTAATTGCAGGCTCTTCATCAACCTGCACAACATTGTCAAATGTATAAAGAAAATTATTTTAGCATGTGAGAGAACCTCAAACAAATTAAATGAGAACTTAACATTCTCAAAATAGTAATATATATATATATATATATATGGAGAAGCCTTGGTGATTTTCATATGAAAAATTAGACACAATTCCGCCACTAATATACCTTTTTATCCATTTAGATAAAGTACTTTACTGCTATTATAAACTGGTAATGCAGACCTAAGGTTATAGGATTAAAAAACACTTGGTTGTTTCTGTTATTCCCTTTAAGTCACAGATATGTAGCCTGACCAGAAATAAAATAGAACACTACAATGCAATACCATATGATGCATACCTGTAACTTGGAAAGATATTTCAATAATGAGCCTGACAAAGTACGCTGCGAAAGCTGCAATGCAGAATAAGACAACACAAAACTTAGAAAAGATCCAATTGCATTTTTACATAAATAAATAAAAATATATCACGAAGCTGCAACAAAATAGACAATGAAACAAGATAGCAAGACCATGGAGATAATATAGGATTAAAATCACAAACTCATATCAAACTCAACCTCTTTGGTTTTTCATTTTTTTTCCATAACACTTTTCTCCATTGTACTTGAGGCAACATAAATAAGCAATTGAACTTTGCATTCAATAAGACCTTGCACATTATTATCCTACATTGTCAACATCCAAAAATAGGTAAGACCATTGGCATATAACAAGGAATTCATTACTTAATTTATGTATTGGCACTAATCTGAAGATCCTAAATTTTAGCAGTGGTCGCTAGGGAATGATCCCATACCACTCGATGGATCATGATTAGTTATGGAAAACATCTTCGCTTTGTCTCCCAGTTCCAACTATCATTTGACTATCTTATAAAGCCAAGTGATCAAAAGTTTATAAACTCTGCCAGTTCCTTGTACATTCCCGTGAATAACATTGCAAGCTAGCTAATAAGAGTTGAAAAGTAACTTGAATAAGTCAACAACATGACTAAGAACACAATAGACTCTTGAAAGAGATACGACTAACCAGAATGAAGACATTAAAACACGGATTATAAGCTGAAAGAGAACACCCTACTTTCAAAACTTAGCTAGATGGTGCAACTAGGACTCACAACAAACATAAAAAGTCCAAACATCTCTTCCAATATTTTACACCAAGGTATCTCCTATTAAAACAATCTTAATTTCCTTTACTAAAATGGAGTCATGCTACCCAACATTGCACACTCTTGGTTCAGGTGTTGAGCATAGGTGTGCCCAAGACAAATATGTTCAATTCTTTTTTAACTCTTCCTAATTTTTAGGTTGTGTATCTGCAAAAATAATCAAGTTGACTTGTCGACCATGATATTGACATAGATACATTAGGAAATAATAAGTCTAAGTAACATGGCTGCTAACAGCAATAAACGAACATACCTTAGGAGCCAATATAAGCATGGACTTAAGAGTCAATTCTCGGAGAAATGCAGATGTGTCTGCAAATCCAGTAGCAACATGGGGGTAGACCTAGTTGTACAAATTTAAATCAACAGTTAATAATTCGCAATATTATCAGGAGTTTGAATTAAGCAACTAAATCTTCTTGAATGAGGGAGAAACAAAAAAACCACTTTCCCGTGGATTGCATACTTGCTCATCAACAACTTGAGCTAATAAAGATTCCCCATATTGATCAATATGCTGTAGGAGAGCAACCCGAACGGCTCGGTCATTAGACGCAAAAAGTTTCACAACTGTAGGCAGTACCTGCAAGGAGAAACGAAAGTGTTATCCATTCAGCCAAAAGTAATAGAGAACAAGTTACATATTTAAACAGAGTCGGAATCTTCTATTTAAATCAAACATAAAATCATGTCTAAAGTATACTGAAACAGGGAGTAGTATGACCTTCAGACTAAATTCTTCAGCTGAAAGCCAAGAACCCATTTTCAACAGTGCAGTCAAAGCAGTGGCAGCAGCAGAACCAAATTCAAGGGAAGAGGCTAACAAAGAAAGTAACTGCAAAGCAAATTATGAAACCATAAATTGGCGGTTGAAACCATGGATGATTGGTCTTAACTTATAACACTAGAGCTCAAAGATTGTACCTTCTTCAACACAATTTGGCGCGGAAGCTGCTCTGCTAAATTAGGAAGCTTACGGAAGAAAGTATCCTTCTCAACGCTGTCTTTCAAACTAAGAATTTCCATAAAATGTATTGTGTGCACCAACTTGTTTTGAAAATATTCTGTCAATAAAAGCATTTAAGAATACCGTATCAGCACAAAGAAAAAATTTGACAGAGAAGGAATTTCAAAACAAATAAGCTATTAGTGGAAACATAAGCAAATAAGATTGTATACATAAAGAGAAAATGAAACATCAATGATTTCACAAAGCACACTTCAGAACTAAAAAGCCATATGAAACAGAGAATTCCTGGTTGAACCTTATGATAAAAGAAAATTTATTACAATAACAAGGAACATTGAGATCGTTTTTATAATGCATAAAGCTTTCAACATAACTTCACTTTCAAAAAGTGTACTGTCATCTCAAATCATCACCCAAGACAATCATAATCAACCCCTTCCAGCTGCATATCCCTTTTTACGAAAACTTCCCATTACTCAGAATACAGGTCCTCATTTTTTCTATTGTTTCTCCCTATTTTCTATGGAGAGGGGATGCGTTCAGAAAACCTATTGCCCTCTCTTATCTCCCAATGCTTCCCACAAAGTAGTAATAATAGAAACTAAAAGGCTATATGTGGATAAAATGTTTCAAGAACAGAATAACTTCTGTTGCAAGAATAAAGAACACTCCATGCCACTCCAAAGAGATCAATCATTATGTGTAGTTGGTCCAAGAATTGAACATAAAAGGACATGCTTATAAAGCAGATTGTTTTGCTGGATTTCTAATACGTTTGGCACAACCACAAGAGACTCAGCAAAAGGCATTTACCACTATTTTCAATAAGCTTTGATGTATTCAACCTGCGGGAAGGCATGGAGCTCAATAACCGCTGATAATCTGGAAGCAGAGACTGTGAGACGAGAAAATAGGAAGATAAATAAAAAACAATTAACCTTGCCAAGGATCAAAAAGGAAGCACATATAAGCAGTAGCGAACAGAGGAATGCAACCACAAATAAAATAACTCAGGATGGCAGCAAGTGAGATATCTGCAGATTTTGAATTATTACATTCTGAATCCAAAATTTTTCTTAGAAATCCGAATCCATTTTAGCAGAAAATTATCCGAGTATCACTATCCAAATTAGAACAAAATATTATTATGTACCAAATATCTGACTCCACAAAAAGAACGAATTCAAAATTTTAAATCATATGTCAAATATTTGAATCCACATATCCAAATCTATTAAAAGTTAGACCAAGCTTCAATCCCATTATAAGCAAATAAATTATCCATTTTCAATTCCGGTGTCAAATTCAGATATCCAAATCCGCAATCTGTATCTGCATAAGTAATGTGGATTCAGATAATGAATATTTGAGGATGTCTATCAATATCCTCTCCGAGTTCACAACAAATAGTAATTTTAACATCCAAATCAAAAAAAACGGATATCTGCAAATATCCAAATCCACAATCCGAATTGTTATCCCTAATAATAACCACAAACCTTTGGAATAGAAGCAGTGTTGCGCAGCTCCTCGGTTTTTCCCAACTTTGTGCCAGAGAAAATCTCATAAATAAGGCATCCTACCAAATTGAACAAAAGAGTTCAGATTGCACAGAAGATCAGATAGCAGAAAAACAGAAAATGAACCGAATTACATAAATGTAATTATTATTATCTCCTTTTTCACTGGTCCGCATTAGATACATGCATATGTGCATACATTTCCTGAAGTCATTGTAATACACAGAGCACATAATACAGTTGAGAAGATTTTTGAAAACTTCGAAATAAATCTAAACTTATAAACTTAAGCAAATGAATGCCGACTAGAAGCATACAAATGAACATCTAAAGCTAAGAACTTTCTGCCCCTGCGTCCCTCTCAGTCAACCCTAGAGTATAAAAGTGATGAAAAACAACCGGTATCAACTCTAAACCCAAGCAAGAAATATCCCTCTTGTCCGAATAGAATTTCATGATGTAAATACACCTAAGAGATCAATGTGAAAAGAAACTGATACTCAAAGAATTAGTACATATTAAAAGTTTAATCACCAACCCATCTAATTTATTACACCAAAATCAAAAGAAACAATATGAACTCACCCAAACCCCAAGAATCAATAGCCCATGGTGGTGATTTTCTGATTGTGGCCCAGTCAGAGTTTGCCAGCTCCATTGGCTTGTATTGTAATCCAACAAGCCATTCATATTGCTGATGAAAACAGAGGATTAAATTGAATTATCCACAGGAAGGTTTGACAGCAAAGAATGGAAAGTTGACCTTGAGAGTCCCACATAGATGGAAAGACAACAATTTAATATATATAACAAGTATAATAAAGAAAGCGTATGAGAATTGAATAAAGTATTTTAACTATGCAAATCAGATGCAGAAAAAATTACATAGATTGCAAGTAACCTAAATTTAATACATTAAAATAATTCCAATGCCAGAGAAACAACTGCATTTTATATGCCCTATCAGTTTACTTTATGGATTACTTCTCTAAGGACTTGCTCAGAAAAAAAACTTTGTTCTTCTCTAAGAAGATACTCAGACATCATTCCATAAGTACCTACTTGAGTTTGAAGATAAATAGTATACGTATCATATTGAGATTCAAAAATAGCTCAAAACATTTTGCTCGCATCCAAGCACAAGCATTACCAGAATTGGCCCTGTAGCAGTTGCATTTGCCCTGTCAAATTCCGATAGAACATCAAAGCATGTAACTTCCAGTCCAACGTCTGAGTTACAACAACACTTGACATACAAACATTGCCATGAACCTGTACCATCCAATGCTAGTGAAAAGAATGATCTTGAAAGACATAAGCGGCTTAAAACTAAGGAAACCACAATATCATATTCGGTGACTAATATTCAGTCTATTTAAAGCAGTGCAATTTCCCTAAGATATGAACTGCTAACTGCTCACTCAAGTACAAAAAAAAACATGTGTCAGCGTGACTAGAAGTGTTTAGAATTTCAATGAACGAAGATCTAAATTGAAAAAGTTTGAAATACTTACAAGTTTGCAATCATTATTTAAAAAGCTAACAGCTTTAGCAACTTCGTGCAGCCCCCAAGCATAATACTCATCCCTAACAACATAAGAAATCACAATCTAAAGCTATTATGGCATTATCAACAAATCATGTTCTCAAGTTTCTATGTATGATGGCATTGGAATCAATGGGGGAAATAAACCTTCAAATAAGTGTCAGAAACTAAAATGTACATCCATTCTGGGAATCAGAACAAGCAAAATAGTAAATACAAGAAGGGGATTTAGTAAAGTTGAGCGGCTATACCTTTGTTTACCTACTAAACCGAGTTCCTTGATCTTCTCTGACAATGGCATAACAGGCTCCGTGACAATATAGATTGTAACTTTCGGACTAGGATCATCAAAAGATTCAACCTCAGTACTATGAAGAAATGACAAGATATTTGGATGCCTCACCTGTAAAGAGAAGCAGAAAACTCATATCAATGTCCAGAATCCAAGTAAAAATCCAATCTTTCCGGATCAGGAAAGCAAGAATTGACCAGTACACTAAACAATTATAGGAACTAAGAGTAATACAATTTCAAACACTGGATAATTCTAGCAAAAGCAATTGGGATTGAAAATAATTGGGATTGAAAAGCAGGGAGTAAGATGAAATAGTCACAGTTCGAAGACGTTTGACACCATTTCGACCAGCAGCTAAATGGCCATCCTGAGGATTACTTCCGTTAAGAGAAAAGATAGAGACCGGTGATCCATCGTCCTGAAAACATTTAAGAAAGAAAAGGAAGAGATTTGAAGGTTTAAAAGAGTTCAAGGAAGAGATTAAAGAAAAGGTTAAAGTAGCGGGAGAGAAGTACCTTGGAGGTGCCGCGAAAGTGAGACCAAGAGCCCCAAGCAGAAGGGTAAGGATCTCCAATATCGTAAGGTAGATCCTTGAGCCCAGTTCCAGATCCGGCTACTACTCCTTTCAAGAATTTCAACATCTTTTTGCTTCGATGATCTGTGAAGAGATACAGAACAAGAGGGAGAAGGCCCCTAATTCGATTCGATCTGCCAAAATTTTATGTTTTATTATTAATGTTTTAAAATTAAAACCCTATTATGTACTCTTCAAAATATTATATTCAGTGGATGTTTCAAAGAGGTTTGATTCCATGGACCGCGAGTACTGATTCACATGATTAATATAAATCTTTCTCATGTTTGTTTAATTTAAACGTTATGTGATTTGATACCATTTATTTTATATTTCTATTATATATGTAAACTCTAAGAAAATATTTAATATTGGATTATTATCAGAACTATCAGATTACTAATGATGTCTGATAAATTGGAAAACAATAAAAGCAAGTAGTAATTTTCATTTCCACAAACTATGAAAAACAGAAGCAAAAACTCTCGCAAAATGTTTCTCAATAATGTTTTCTCTCCTTTCCCTCTTTATATATTCTTTTAGAAAGATAAAGACGAAAACCAAAAGCCATAAAATCAATCTAAAATTACAAACCATCTAAACTTGGCATAGGGTTTTGGGAGAGATGAGTTTCCCTCAATCAACTTGCTAATCATTGAAGGACTCAATGAATGTCTGTATCGGTTGGATCCTCTGGACCTACAGATATTTTACCTAAATACTAATTAAATATTTTCCTTAACTGTGTGATCTCCTTCTAATTTAAATATTAATATGATATGACTTGTAATTCATGAATATATTCTATTAAAACGGTATTAATTGATTATTTTTAATTTTATTCGGAAAATAAGTAATAGTCTTACTTTTCAGAATATATTGTTTTCAATTCTTATCATATTTGTAAATATTATAAATACCGTGTAAACTTACTAGGTTTGACGCAACTCCAAAACTCTTCTATTTCTCTCTATTTTTTTGTGATAGTCTCAAACAAGATATAATTTGTGATCATTGTAGTTGTGCTACTGTATCGTAATTATCTTGTTGTTGTATCCTAGGAGACAGAAGATCAAAGATTTCGAACATTAAAGAGTAGTCAAAAAATTGTATTAAGGAAACATGTAACACCTTTAACCCGTATACGTCTCGATATACGAGTCAAATATGTCACATCAACTTAAAAACATTTACTGAACTGAAATTACTTTAAAAAAAATTAATTTGAAAACATTCATATTCTAACTTTAAAAATATAAAAGTATATATCAACCTTTAATTTATTTATTTGTCGCATGAAAATAAATTCATTTGTAAATCAGTAATTTTACTAAATCATGTCTTTTTGTGAAATCTTTTAAAAACATAATATCGTAATATATTCTTTTCATACATAAATACTGATAAAACTAAACCAAGTAAAATAAACTAAAATAGTTCTAGTTTACTATTACAAATTATTAAAAAATAAATACGATAAATAGAAATCACTGACATAATTATACATGTCACTATAAGTCAAAAGAAACATCATAGATGTCTTACTAATACTGATGATATGTATGTCTTTCCAAAAAGATGCTCCTATAGCTATTTACGGATCATACTTATCCTTATTAAAACTTATGCATGAAAATCATCACGCGTTAAGTATAACTTAGTGAGGCAATAATACTAAAGGTGAGAAAAAATAAATATAATATCAACATATATAATATCATTAAAATAAAACAGACTGAATTTTTTTCAGAACGTTCAAACCAGATATCTCATGCTAAACTTTATCATAAACCTGAAAAGAATCATCTGATAATTTTCACAAGATCATAATAAATCAGATCAGACAGAATAATCAGTCCATATTCCTTTGTAGTCAAACACTTTTCAGAACTTCCTTATTTCATTTTTATAGCCCAAAGTATATTTTAAGAGAATATAAAGTACGTGAGTCAGACGAGTGTGCACAATACAAATCTCATATCATCAGAGTCGGAACATATAAGCACACACAATGCTATCACATCGGAAATAACAATATGCACACCAAGTGCATTCAGATCAGAATATATATATACTAGTGTACACTCCGATACACCACAATATATTAGAATCAGAACATATAATCACTCCACCTCATGGCATGCCAATTGTACCATTGACTCTCAATATAACATACAATGGGCTTTTAGTTCATTTCGTAATCATTTGATAAACATCATATCAGAATCAGAAATATATTTAATTCACATTCGTAAAATATGACATGGGCAGTTCATACCCAAAATCATTCATAAAACTTATTAACAATATTACGGATATAATTCCATAGTCAAAACATAATTCATATATTTGAAATAAATAATGCGAGGTTGACTTATCGCAAGTCATCCTCGATCAAAATAATTAAATAAATAAACTGCACTCACCTTTGCCTCACTACAGAACTTGTATACATAATACTAGTCATAAGCTTTGTCATTTCCTTTTAGATCATTCGGATTGCTAGTTTTATTGTAATATGACAATACCAAATTATAACACAAAATGTTTAAACTACATATTAGTATGGTTCTAACATAAACTCATTTTGACATTTGAAAATCTATAAAATAAAATCGATAACTAAATCGATATCAACCTAACTCATAACTCCATTATAACTTCAAACTTCTCGAAACACTTATTCAATTCCACAAATAATTATTCCCAACATGATTTTCAACTTTTACCAATTATAAAATCAAACCACATATTTTAAATTCTTTCTAGAATTAAACTCAACTTTTCCTTTAATTTCATAATAGCTCTTCACTATTATGATCATTTCCCATTAAATATATAAAATTTCCAGGAACTAAAATAAAAGTTCAAATCAACACTTCAATACTCAAAAGCTTACAATTTCATCCTACTTTCTTAGATTTTTTTCAATTTCAACCTTACAACTTGATAAACTTGAAATTCAATCCCAACTTGATATTTAAACTCCAAAATTTCAGCACACTATTCTAAATTTCCAGAAATTCTAACACAAATGGTACTTTCATTTAAATTTCTTCATCTTTAATTCATTTCTTTAAACTAAAATTTTCCAGACAATGCCTATTTTTAAAGAATCATATTTTATATACACACTGGAATTTAATTCCGTTTATTTCTTTGAAAAGTAGACTCGAATACGAATCTATACATATAAAGAACTCCTTCTAATTCATTCTGTACAATTTATGGTGAATTTTCAAAGTTGACCGACAAAATCTGTTTTGTGCATAATCTGCTGCCCGTTTTTTCTGACCTTTCATCGGTTAAAAAGTCATATCTTTTTTTATACACCTTGAAATTGATTCCTGTTTGTTTTAAACAAAACTCACTGCCAGATTCAAAATCTAAACTATTTTCATTAACTCCATCCTCAGGTTCTTCATCAATTCTTACAACCAATTCTTAAAATCACTTAACTCTTCATAACACCTAAAACACAAGAAATCAGCATCCCTTCATCGACTCAAGATGAACTTGAACATAAACCCTAGTGATATTCATGTTAAAACGTAGCGAATTGAACGTAGAACATTTTTCCTAACTACACCGAAGTCTAATTCTCAAAAAAATAGCTTCAAAAATAAAAATAAAAATCCTTACCTTGTTAGGACTTGAACTTTCGACCAAATGAAGGAAGAAGCTGATAATGCTCAAGTGTCTTGAATATTCTAATGTTAATTAGCCTTAACACATGGCTAAATACCAATAAAATGAAATTTTTTATTCAATTATTAAGAAATTTCATTTTTTCCATTAATGAAACTTAAAAATTACTACTTGCCATTGTCATCTTTTCTAGCAAAATATTCCTTGGTCAAATATGAATCAACTTGACTTTGAATTTTGAAATTGGCCATGCAATTTTAAAAAATTGCATTTTAGTCACTAAAATTCCACTGTTTCGGACAAATATGAAAAATTGCACTGTTCTGAGCAAAATTTCTTGATCTAAAATATGAAATAATACTTCCAACCATTTCCTAACATCCTTCAAATTTTCGTAAAATTTCGATTCGATCCGATCCGATTATCCGATTTCAATACAGAACTTTGCTGTTTTCTAGCTTTTAACATAATTCTCGTATCAAAAATATGTTTCTCACTAAATATATGTTTTAATCCAAACTATTCATTTATAAGCTAAAATATATAACTTTTAAAAATTATAATTTTGGTCCTTAAACTTTTCAAAGTTTATACTTTAGCCACTAAACTTTTAAAACTTATATTTTAATCACTAGACAAAATTTGGGGTATTACAAAACATACCTCAACTATTTCGAATTTCTTATTTAGTTTACAATTGAGTTTTTCTTCTAAACTATAAATATTTTTTATTAATAAAATTCATCTTTTTTTCTTTCTTTTATTTTCCGTCTCAGATTGTTATATTATAGCATAAACAATACAACACAGTCTTCATCGATCTGTCCCTTCTGCTCAGCATTAAGAATGTTATGTATTTGGCACATGTTACGTTTGCCTCTACAAAGGGTCGTTGATTTGTCCAACAATATTTTATTTAAAAACAACAATTTCCTATTATTAATAGATTTAAAAAAAATATTAGCAGTCTTTTTTTTATTTAAACAAGTAAATTCATGTAAATAAAGAAGTTGATTCATAGCAGTAAAACTAAATTATATAAAAAAAGATTATTTGTAATGAATCCAAGGTCTAAAATTGATTATCAATTTTGGCATGAGCTAAAAAATAAAAATATCTTTGCAATTATCTATGTTGACCAATACCCCATGTCAAAAATCCTCAGGGTTACTTCATTTTATACGTCATCATCCCACACTATCTTCTAGAATAAGTTTGACTGTTCATATTTGTCAGGGTAGAAGGTACCTATGTTCATAATTGAAGACTACGACGGAAAATACATGCATTTCCACACCTTGGAAAAGGTTTCAATGGTGATACAATTCCACATTACAGATTACAAGTCACTTTACAATATACTTTAGACTACACGAACTCACTTTCATCGAACTGAAAATCATTTTCAAACTCAACAGGCTTAATCACAAGGTCCAACTCCAAGTTGTGAGAAGTGATTTCAGTGCTCGAATACACGTTAGACATC